TAGAAACCAAATAAAAACAAATACAAGTGAACATTCCAGGAGATAAAACCTTCTCGCTTGATAATGTAAAATATGAGCGCTTCAGATCACAACCTCCTGTCATATCATTCAATACACAAAATCAAAATGTTTGCATTCTCGTATTATTATTTTTAGCCTCTAAATGTCAGTATCAGGAAAATATTTATATGCTCCTAGGCCACGGTTTCGCATGAATCTGGTTTACATTCTGTAGAGGGGCACTGCCGTGTTGTGTTTGGACTCGAATGCACCTTTGGAATGAGACTAATGATGGATTCCAGACCTACGCCAGAATCTAACTTTTAATCTCATCATCATAAACTTCATGTAATTGTTTATAACATCACACCCAAAACATCCTGAGCAGCACCTAGGCAGCAGACCTGGCTGTGAATCACTCCTGCAGATACAACCACAGTGGCCGCATATCACTACAACCAGAACACTTAACATTAACATGATATATCTTTTTTTTTTATAGAACATTTAAATCTTGGTGAGAGCATGGAGAACATACTAAACTGAACTTTGAACTGATTCTTCCTCATTCAAAACAATATACCACATAAACAAAACAACAGCTTTTACATTAAGCCAAGAGCACCATCTGCTGGACACTTTCTATATTGTCTTTTTTCATTATGAAATCACATGAACTTTTTGTGATCATTTTTTTTGATGATTACTTTTAATAAAAACACTGTTTTGCTTTTAAATTACTTAAAACATATTATAAAAATATAAAAAATTAAATTTTCATTAAACATCAAAACAATTTTTTTCATTAAAAATTATATTAACTTTATTTTGTATTAATTGTTTATTTGACAAGAGACCAAAAAGGTGCAAAATATTAAACAATTAATTTTTTATTTTACATCAAAATTTATACTTTTCAAAATACTAAATCTTTTATTACTGAATCTTTTTTTTCCCATCAAAAATTATATTAACTTTATTTGTTTATACATTTTTTATTTGACAAGAGACCAAAACAGTGCAGAATATTAAATGTAGGATATTTTATTTCTACAACACCACTGATATTTCAGATTTAAATTACATTTTAAAATTTTAAATCCTGTACATTCAGTCTGTCTATCCTATAAAGTAATGAATTTAAACAATATAACATATCCTATAACGAATGAAAACCATTTGAAAATACAAATTAAGTCGTGTAATTGAATTTCTTTACAAGGCGGTTTTGTTTTGAACTCACTCTCATAAAGCTGAAGATAGTGCGCTGAGGGCGTATCTGGCCTTGTGTAGTCGACTGGCTTCCTGTCATATTTGTCTCGGGCGTAAATGTTGGCCCCGAACTCCACCAGCAGCTCAATCATATCCACATTGTTGGACTTGGCAGCATGATGTAAGGGCGTCTCGTGTAGCCTAGTGGCATTTACTCGCACACCTGCACACAATGATTCATGATTAAAGCTTTACTTTGGTGATTTCAGATCTAAACTACCTTCTTTAGAGGCACATTCTTTAGCGTTTGCATGGCTGACAGAGTACTTTACAATCTCATGGTTCATGGAATCCGGTTTTACCTGCATTCAGTAGCACTTTAACACACTCCAGGTGTCGGTTGGCACATGCCACATGTAGAGGAGTACCGTAGTACAGGTCATAGGCTTCCAGACTGGCTCCTTTAGCAATCACTAACCTCACACAATCTGCATTACCTGCATAACAGAATATTCTCATATTATATGATGGACAGACAAGTATTTCACTCAAAAAGTTCAGTTTATCAAAATAATTCTTACTCTATAAATGTATAAAATTCATACAGATTCTGTAATACTACAGAAATTATAAATGGTCAATAAAACACAATTTAAATTTTTTTTTTGTTGTTGAAAATTTGACAATTATATTTTAAAACAATAAAATAAAATAATCATCAAAAGAATGCATACTCTAAGCATTTATAAAAATACCTTACAGATTCTGTAATACTATATAAACAAAAGACAACAAAACCAAATATAATTTTCATAATAATGAAAATAATTATTGTCCTTAAAATAAAAACAAAACAATAAAATGTGAATATAAAATAATCATAAAAATAATTTTTACTCTAATATGACAAAATTACCTTTTACCTATAAGTAAACCAGCTTCTGTAATACTACAGAAATGTCAATAAAACACAATGTAAAAATTTTTTTTTAATTGATATATAGTGCATTTTATTTTTTAAATAAATTGTAAACATAAAATAATCATAAAAGGAATTCATACTCTATGAATTTATAAAATTACCTTACATATTCTGTAAACCTACAGAAAAAAATCAACAAAACCTAATATAAAATAATTTTTGATAATACTAATACTGATTATATTTTTTATTAAAAATTAATAAAATAAAATGTAATACTACAGAAAAAAAATCAACAAAACCTAATATAAAATCATTTTTGATAATACTAATACTCGATTATATTTTAAAATAATTTTTAAATAAAATAAAATGTAAAAATAAAAGTTAAGAAAAAATTCTTACTCTTAAATTCCTTCTCTAACTTATTTTTTAACATTGTATATTAGTATATTTTTAAATAAAGTGATTTCAAAATAAAATAAAAACAACCATAAACTCATCATCAAAAGAATTCATACTCTATGAATTACGGTAATTAAAAAAAATCCTTACAGATTCTTTAATACTAAAGAAAAACAAAAAGTCAACAAATTCTACTATAAAATTGTTCTAATAATTAGATAACCATACATTTTAAATCAACAAATAAAATTTAATTGAAATAAAATACACTTCTACAGTGAGTGTAGACCAAACCAGCACACCTCCCATGCAGGCCTCATGTAGAGGAGAGGTGGTGCGAGAGGTAAGCATGGGGTTGACTTTTGCTCCATACTCCAAAAGAAGCCTCACACACTCAAAGTTCCCGATAGAGCACGCTTCACACAGTGGAGTGCTGCCGTCCACGTTCCTTGCATCAACCTGCAACACAAAAACCCATTTCAAAGCCAAAGTCAGGGCCTTTTTAAGAACAGTATGTGTGTGACTGGCACCTGAGCCCCTGCGTCCAGCAGCAGTCTCACACACTGCGTCTGTCCGCGCGCAGCTGCCTCGTGGAGGGGAGTGATGGAGTCCACAGCCACAATATTCACTGAAGCTCCACTCTGGATCAAACTCTGCAGCTCTGACACCTGACCCCGATACGCAGCCTTATGAACCTCTGTCCTCTCTGCCCAGAAACCTAATACACAGTAAAACCATAACCACAAGAGTCAGCCACAACAGATCGTTTCCACTGTTTTATTAATGGATGATGTGTTATGGTAATAATTTTAGCATATGCGATAAAAATGAATTACTAGGCATAATATATTGGTCATATAAGCCTTCGAGTTAAAAAAAAAAAAGAGATAAAGTTGTGTCTCATAAATCATGTAATAGAATCAAATAATGTACATGAGCTATTGATGCGTTAATGTTTATTATTTGTATAGTTTATATATTATCATAGTTGGCTATATGACATATTTATAAGGCTATATTAAACATTGGTTGTTGACTACAGTTGCATGGCATTAAGAAGAGCACTATGGTGTGAAATATGATAATCAAAATAGGGCGGCACGCCGCTGCAGTACGGACATAGCGGCAAATACGCGTGGACTTACCGATGTCACCGAAAAAATAAGGTCGTGCCGTTTCCACTTCCATCTCTGCTTTAGTAAAATGGTAGAGAAATGTAAACCAAACACTGTCGCTAACTAAAGTCTGCTGTGTTTAGAAATGCGGTGTATGCATCACGTGGTCTGTTCTGTTTAGATTGTAGTTATGACGTGTTGCCGTGAATGCTGGGAGTTGTAGTTTACTGCGAATTTACTGGGGTCAATACTATATATATATGTATATGTGTATATGTATATGTGTATATATATATATATATATACACATAT